AACTACAATGGAGGTCAAGGAAATTACAGAGGAAACAACCAGGGTGGAGCCAATATTGGCAACACTAACAACAACAATTATGTCAATAACAGACAAAATAATAATGTTCGACAGTCCCCTTAAGGTAAAACAATTAAAACAAAAAATTTACTGTATTATTCTAAGCTCAAACCTTCTTATTTCTATAAAAAACGAAAATACTAAAAAACGATACACATTATTAGTTGATAAAGGTGCAGAAAATTCTTTGATAAAAAAAAGTTCGGATTCAATCAGAACCATAGATTACAGAGAAATTTCTCAAATATCAGGCATTGGTGAAGGAACAACAAGTTCAAAAGGATTTGTATCAAAAGACCTTCTTTCTTTAAACTCGAATTTCCCTATTCCGTTCGATGGCATAATAGCCATAGACTTCATGAAAAAATTTAACTGTCAAATATACTTAAATCCAGAAATCGACTGGTTCATACTGAGGCCAGATAATATCCATCACCCAATTAAAATACTAATACACCATAACCTTCAAAACAATTCAACTGTTTTACCAGCAAGATCCGAAGTCGTCCGAAAAATTTCAATACAATCCGACACAAAGTTTTCTTATACCAAACCAAGAAATCAAAAATGGAAATATTCATATCCAATATTCATTGTAAACGCTATTGATACCAAATTCAGAATTCTTAACACAACAAATAAAAAAGTAATCATTGAATTAAATAAGTAAATTAAAAGTAGAACCTCTAGAAGATTACGAAATAATTAAAACTAAAAAACAAGTAAATCAGACAGAAATTTTAAATAAATTGATCAAGAATTTTCAACCACAATTCAAAGGAAATCTGAACAAAATCTACACCAAGTACGTAGATATATTCGGAATTGAAACCGATCAACTAATAATTTTTGCAAACAAAAAATAAGAATAAAGGATGAGGAGCCAATATATATAAAAAACTACCGAATCCCACATGGTCAAAAAGAAGAAGTAGACTAACAAGTAAACAAATTAATAAAAGTCAAAATAGTAGAACCATCTAGAACCTGAATATAACAGACCATTAGGTATAGTACCCAAAAAGGCTTTACCAAATTGTACTAATAAGAGATTGCGGTTAGTAATTGACTAAAAAATCGTATACGATAAATTTCCATTACCAAAGATAGATGATATTCTTGACCAATTATGAAGAGCTAAAGATTTAATGTCAGGTTTTCATCAAATAGAACTCGAAGAAAATTCCAAAAATATTACCTTATTTTTAAAGTGCAATGGGTCTTATCGTTTTACGCGATTATCATAGGATTTAAAAAAGAATGACAATCGCATATTCAGGTATCGAACCTTCTCAGGCTTTATTGTATGTATATGGATGACCTAATTGTCATCGGATGTTCAGAAAAACGTATGATCAAAAACCTCACAAACCTTTTTGACTTATGTAGAAAAAGAAATCTTCACCTGCACCCAGAAAATTGTTAATTTTCGGAAAAATAGAAAATACCCTGCGCTAGAAGATTCGTTACATTTAGCAATTATTACGAACGATTTATACAACATTTTTCCGATTATTCATTCTTTACAGATTATGTAAAAGGAATTTAAAATTCAAATGGACAGATAAATGCCAAAAGCCTTCAAATATTTAAAAGTTCAATTAATGAAACCAACATTATTAAAGTATTCAGATTTCGAGATGCAACAGATGCAAGCTTGTGGATCTGCGCTAACACAAGATCATAATGGAACACAGTTACCTGTAGCTTAGGCATCAAGATCTTTCACCAAGGGAGAGAGAAACAAAAATACTACTGAACAAGAGTTAGAGTTTCGACCATATACCTATGGCAAACATCTCACTGTAAAAGCCGACCACAGACCCCTAACATACTTGTTTTCTATGACTAACCCCAGTTCAAAATTTAAACGCGTGATACTAGATTTTACTGTAGAATATTTTAAGGGAAAAGACAACCATGTAGCAGATGCACTATCAAGAATAACGATATCTGATCTAAAAAAACATAAACCAAAACATAAACATACCAGAAATAAAAGTAATAAAAAAAATTCTAACTCAAAATAAAGCTTCTCAGCCCAACATATACAAAGTCATTGTAAATGACGAAGTACGAAAAGTAGTGACCTTGCGAGTAACAGACTCACTATGTCTAATGAAACATATGAAAAAAGTTATAGCAAGAATATATGTTAGCGATTACCAATGAAATTCTCGACATAGGTCAGTTCTTTCAAAGGCTTGAAAAACAACCGGTATACTTTAAATCAGCCAACTCAACCCGAGCGAAAAGATTATAACATCGCAACAGAATCTTTTAAGAAAATGGGCAATAAAATATTCCAATCTCTTAGAGTAGCACTACTCAAGCCGATGACCGGTGATCAAGATAAAGAAGCAATACTGTTTACATTCCATGATGATCCAAAACAAGAATCATACAGGCATAGCTAGAAAATTTACTAAAATAAAAAAACATTATTATTGGATAAACATAACACGATAAACACCAAAATATATAAAACAATGTCCGAAATGCCAAAATTAAAAAATAACTAAACACACAAACCCCCTTTGACTATAACTGAAACGCCACAAACGGCTTTCGACGGGGTAATTGTGGAAACGATCGGTCCACTACCCAAATCTGTAAAAGGAAATGAATATGCAGTAACCTTAATCTGCGACTTAACAAAATACCTTGTTACAATCCCAATTAAAAACAAAAGTGCAAGGCAAAGTATAGCGAAAGCTATATTTGAAGATTTTATTCTGAAGAACGAGCATGGGAACAGAATACAAAAATTCAATCATTGAAGCTTTATGTAAAAACTTAAACATCCAAAACATAACACACCATCACCAGACCTTAGGAACCGTAGAAATAAGTCATAGAACATTTTGTAAATTCATTACGTCCTACATTTCAATAGACAAAACCGATTCGGACTTGGCTCCCGTATTTCACGTACTGTTTCAACACTACGCCCTCTATGGCACACGATTACTAGCTCATTACCATATGATAATAACTGGTCACAAGCAAGACTTCAAATATACGGGACCATGTAATGTAGAAAGCGTAGAAAACAATGATAACATAATAATATCAAATAATACAAATAAAAAACAAAACGTACATAAAGATAGATTGAAGATTTTCTATTAATTATCCATACTATATCCATACATAAGCAATATCATAAACATCATATAAATAGTGACATATCCTCAAGTTTTTTAGTCTTAAGCCTACTGAGTATAAACAATACACCCCACACTACCCATTATGTACCCACCCAATCGATAAGAACCAGACTGTCATATGAGTACAGGATGCAATTGATACAAATAACCCACTGGTAGACTAAACATTCTTTGCCTAAACCCTCACATAATTGTCACGTTCCCACGTTCAAAGTTCGGACTCGCAAACTCGAAAACAAAAGTTTTAAATTGCAAATAAACAAAATCTTAAGAATCTAAGAGCACTTGTATCCTAGAGCGAATGCACTTGAATCCAAGAGAAATGCAAATAACTCCAAATCTCTCCCTTAATCCTAAAATCCAAAGTCCATATATATTTGAAAAGCTCGAAACAGAGGCTTGAACGTCAATCAATCTAGATCAATAAGGAGAGTTCAGTTTGAGACTTAAATTAAGAAGGTCGGTGTTTTTCAAAAAAATAAGAGTTGTAAGAAACAAACGTTTCAAAATAGGTTAAAAATATATAAATTAATATTAAAAAACAATTTGAATGAAGTTTGAACACATTTTTCTTTGTTATTTTAAGTTTTCAAGTGACTGTGCTAGTCGGCTGTCTCAAAAATAATAGTGAATTTTTTATGTTATGTTTGTTTACATTAATTTAAAATATTATTAATAAAGTTAGTATCCTATCTTCTTTTAATTTCCGTGTGGAATTCTTTTAAGGGGAAAAAAAATTATTTGAAATGCTTTTTTATTTTTCCTGATATTTAGTTTCTAAGACGAGCAGCATAGAGTGTGCTAATCGGTTGTCGCGCAGTGTACGTAAACATAAAAGCCTGAACATAAAGCTGACGGACTCGCAAAATGTATGTGAAGTGCAAGTGTCAGCAAATTCCCATGATCGAAGCACACAGATGATGCATTGAAGCATTGATATTGAAATTAAATATCTATAAAATATAAGAACCGTTGTTCCTATTTAATTTAATTTTAATTTTACTTCATGAACCAACGTAAGGAATGAGTAAGGAAAATTTAAGACTCCCAACGGATGCATATCCATTCAGTTTTATTTGATGGCTGCACTGTATTTAATCCGTTTCTGGATTCAGAAAAAAGACCGCATAGTTCACAAAATAAACACATGAGTGTTTATTTATCAGATACCCGTTACTACCCACACTCAGGTAGTGGAATTGAAAACAAAAAAATTTAATCAAAAAATTTTTAATTTTTCAATAGTGTGAGCAACTTTTTGTTGCCAAATCGATAAAAAAAAAATTACAAGTCTAAAAAATTATGAAAAAAATATCAAAACATTTTTCAAAAAGGTGGCCGTGACAGTTTTGGGTTTATGGGCGTGGCAAAATCATTGAATTAAATTATAAGGTAAGATAAGAACCATATTAATCCATACAATAAAGGAATTCTCTTATCCCAGTTTAGATGATAAACAGCTTGCGGATCTGATATATGTTTATATATTTAGTGCAATTTAGATATTAATAGCTGGTTTTCCATGTCCACGTCCAGACAAAAAGGAAGAAATACAAAATGTGAGAAACTATCCCGTAATGATAGTAACAAGATATAATATAAAGATAGTAAAAATTATTAATTGTGGACAAATTAACAATAAGGAATGGCTATATTATGTGAAAACATTACAGATTAAAGTCTTCAAAACAGTTTTTTTTTGTTCTTGATAAAACGCATACAGAATACAGTTGTACATTTGTAGACTGAGAATAGTTAATATGTACTTACACAACCATGCCATAAGCTCCTTCGCCTATATAGGCTAGTTTAATATATCTAGGACCCACTTCGAATATTTGGCCCCTTATAACTTCAGCACTAGATTGCGGAACTTCCATAGACCCCGTACCATTAACCACTGATCCGTTCGAATTATATTCCTCCATGTCTAACGTTGTTTCTGGAAAAGTTGAAATACTAAATATTTTATAATACAAAATACACCGTATCTCTAAAATTCGCAAGGTATGTGTAGATTAAAATAACACTCTTGCAATCGAATATTTTTAATAACCTTTATGGCGTCTAAATAAACATAAATACATAAAAAAAATATTATTTACTTTATTATGGTTTACCTGAAGTTTATAAATTAAGAGATGAATATATATTTTAACTTTTTATTTACTCCAAACACAAACGGATTAATATGATTTATCAAAATCGACGTTGTAAATCATAAAGAACATGTAAAGTTAACGACACTAGTCAGTTAGCGACTTGTTTATAACCCAATCACACAAAGCACATCCCTAGTGGGAATTTCAGACAGAATAGTAACTAAGCTTAACTTGATGAATATAAAAAATTTGACCATTTAACAATATATATAATCTTTAACTTTATTTAATAATTTAAAATGTTTATTTTATTTTTTTTTTGGTATTAAAGGAGGAAACTGGCCTTCAACATTAGGCGAGATGTAAGGTTGAAAAGTTCTTCTAACAACATTTGCCTATGGTCGGAAATGATTAAAAATTATTGATTTTTTTTATATTCCTAATTTTAACCAATTTTTCTCCCATTAAAAATAAAAAATTAAGCAGTTAACAGACTAAAAGCAGTGAAAGCGGAACTAAAAGTACTCTTCCCATTATTAAGGTTTGATGCAGATGCAGTAAGGACAATGCATAAAATTGATGATAACTCAAGAAGCTGAAACGAAAAGTATAATCAAATGTTAACAAATCCATAAATAGTTTTTATTTTTTATTAGGAAAACTTTTTTAACACCCTACTATTCAGAAGCTATATATGTACAAGAAAATTTTTTTTTATTTTTTTATTTTAATTTCTCCACTGCGACAAATGATGGACTATTCTCTTCAATCAAAATACTATCAAATGTCAAATAACTTTATATGTACATTTGTTGACTACAACAAAATCCGAATGAACTTCATTACATTATCTTTTTACTGTTAATCCTGATTTCTAAGAAATACCAAATACGCCAAGTATAAACATTTAAAATATTATACCCCGTTTAATATTTTATGTAATACATTATTTTATTTATTTTAATGGAACGTAAAAAATGATATAAAAAAAAAATTGTTGCCCATAAATTCAAAAACAAGTTGTACAAGAGTTGTATAAGGAAATGCAGAATGATATATAATATTACAGATATCATGTATCGAGGTTAGGTGTCTTCCAAAGGTTACTTTTCTAGCTTGAATGATATCAAGGTATTTGTAGTGGGTCTTATGTAATAAAACTCTTCTTTTAAGTGAGACACCAGGGCAGCTTTTTGTCCGGTTTGTAAATGTCTGCATTATTTGTCTGCACATTTGTCTGCATTAATGCCGATGTTCCAATTTACAGCCCAATTCTGAAATTCATATAAATACTGCTGCAGTCCGCTAATTGCTTGGTTAATGCAGTTGCTTCTAGATAAGACTGCTGTGTCATCAGCATATGTGGCAATTAACATATCACTCCGATTACGACTGGTAATTGTTGTGGGCATATAAGATGGATTGCAGTAAAGATGGATACAATGTTGGCCCTAGAAAACTTCCTTGAGGAAAACCTGCCACAATGCATTTTAAGGAAGACTTGCATCCATCGCACGTCACGAAAAATGTCCGATCTTCCAAGAAGCTTTTTTTTAGCAAGTTGAAGCAGCTGTGGTGTGAGGAGTCTCTTGGCTTTGTACAGGAGCCCAAGGTGCCAAACTCTGTCAAATGCTTGCTGGATGTCCAAGAATGCTGCTCTCCTCTCCATCGCCTCTAATGTAAAGTTGACCAATCTATGCAGCTGTTCCGGTGTGCCATGCTGGATCCGGAAACCAAATTGAAATTTTGGTATTGAAATCTTTCGGAAAGAGGAAAGAAGGCTGATTGGTCCATAGGAGTCCACAACAGTTGATCGTTTTTGTGGTTTGAGGTTCATGATAATGTTAGCAACCTTCCAGACTTGCTTGCGAAGAACCTCAAGGCTTGATCTGGCAACATTGGAATGGTTCTGTTATCCAGAAGGTCCTCATCCGGAGTTTTCTTTGGTGTTAATTTAGAGACCAGACACTATAGTTCTTTAAGAGTGACTGGTTCAACAGGAAGTGATTTAGGGAAGGGTGTTCTACCGACTCCGCTACCAGGCGGAACTTTATGAAGGCGATTCCAAGTCTATGTTAAATTTGCTGGATTCTAGTATGTATCTTCTGTTCTCGTATATTCTTTTCTGACCCTTCGTTTAAGCCGAAGAAGATTAGCGATTGTGGAGGGTAGTTGAGGCTGATGGGAAGTTTGTATATTTTCCATGCTCAGATCAATTGTCTTGAAAGCCTCTACATTAGCAACATGAGTAAGTAACCGTATGCGTTGTACCTTGTTCACCGGCATAGTGTGCAATTCTGCCAGAAGTGGAGTGTGATCAGATGAGAGCTCATGAAGCTTTCGGATATTGAACCTGCTCATGGCGTACCCGTTGGTTCTGTAGAAATCGAGTGCAGATGGTGTTAATCGAGAGTTCGAGTAGTAAAATGTTGACTCTCCCGTTGCTAATATTTTGTACCGGCCGTTTGCAACGACTTCCTGCAACAACTTGCCTCTAGTGCAGCTCCTAGGATTGCCTCACCAAGCGTGATTTGCATTGTCATTATGCCACCTGCTATAAATTTGTTGCCTAGCATACCTAGTTAGGATTCAATCACAGATTTCAACAATCGCTCATTGGGTGGGAGTTACACAGCTCCTCCGATGTCTGCAGCTGAACTATCGCTATTTGTCGGTCATTCGTTGAGATGGGAAGTTGGGGGCAGTGGCACAAGGATGAACGCACGATGATTGTGGCAACTCCTCTGCTATTGCCACTGGGCGTGGTAAGAGTTGTAAGAAGGTAGATAGATGCGCTGTCCTTCACGCATGTGTGTTTCGGTAAAGATCATGATATCTAAATTATGCACATTTAGGAAGACACGGAGCTCATCACACTTTCTTGCTAGCCCCCGTACGTTCCACAATCCAATTGTTATGATTGGTTCAGTCATTTTGGAATCCGAGTTAAAAGAAGCTGGACCACTTCTCGAAATGCTTTAATTTAATTTAAACATTTTTCGATTCTAGCGTTAATATCCAGGATGGCTGTTTCCAGTGCCTGGAATTTATTCCCGACACCAAAATCTTTTGATGAGTCTGATTCTCTTTGAGAATGCTTTGTCGTATTTGAGACAATTTGAGCCCCAATAGGTCGAGCTATATCGGTATATGAAATATACCTTTTATTGCCTCAGCAGGAATGAATCCGCCTTAGGAGTAAATTCGAATTTTTTGATTTTGCAGTGTTGCCATTTGAGATTGAACTAAAGGTCCTTGGTCTTGTTTTTAGCCTACTTAATTTTTCAACACTAACTGGGCAGATGTTGTCAGTTGAAGCGTAGTCACTACCACAATTGATGCATAATAAATTCACGGGTCACAATAGAAAATCAGTTGTGTGGTATCCAGCACATTTACCACAAATTGATTCTGGAGACATTGTAACATGTCTTTTCGGCGGCGACCGAGATCTACAGTGACTCGATATCTGCCAAGCAGAGTTATTTTCAGTGCTTTGTCGATATTCGGTCCATGTTTTAGGTTAACGAAAAATAGGTATGTCTTGTAGTTGATTACTGCTTCGTCGTCATCTTCAGAGATCTATTTGTTTTGCCAATCTGCTTTCTCGGGCAATATCATAAAGGACTTCAAATCCAAGGTCAGCAAAATAAATTTCAATTTGTGCTTTGGGCATGTTTGGGTGTATTCCCCGAATCACAATTTGGTATGGCTTGTCCTCCTTAAGTTGATGATGCCAAAACTTATAATTCATCAGTGATAAATGCCTTAAAACAGCTCGGAAAGCATCAGAGTTGGCTGTGTAAATCCGTGATACACCGAATCAAGAGGTGCAAATATTATAGTTATTCTCACCAACGCACGTATTTAGTGCCTGTTCAAAGGCGTGGGGATTGTTTATAAACGATAATAAACAATATTATCCCGGATATTCCGAGACAATATAGCTGGAGGCTTAGATGGCATATTTGAGAACTCTTTTCCACTGATATTGGAATCAGAAGGTCTAGGAACAGTTTCATGCAAGTCTTGATCCATCATAAGCTCCTCTTCTTCAGCCAAAGCTGCAAATCGGTTATTGCTTAGAGACTTTGACGATGGGGAAATTATCACAACCTTGGGGGCAGGTTAGTAATCTGTTTCCTAGATTTACGAGTAACTTGGGGTGCTTGAGCAACTACTTTACGTTTCATGCCTGCTGTTTGAAACAAACACTTCTTTGGGACTGTAGATGTCGTTGTTTTGTTGAGAGGTATTGGATCCCGCAGTAGCCGCAACGGTGTAAGTTGTTGTAGGTGATCCACTGTCATGGTGATAGTGCATGGTGATAGTGCAGGTAACTTCAGTGTTACTACTTGTTGTTACCGATGGGTAAGAGTGCAATGAGTCCGAATAATTAATATCGGCTGATGCTGTTTAATATTTGGGATCGTATTGTTTTAGAGCTTGCGCCAGCTATTTTTCTCATCTCCTAAAAATCATGCATATCTTTAGATAGCGAATGATTGAGTTTTGGTCCATTATTACAATTAATACGATTTATTTACTAAATAGTAATTAAAGAAATTATAATTACTCAATTATAGAAATAACAAGACAATAGCGGCCTCCCGCTTGCGCTGAGAGCAGGCCGAGGGGCTTTCTAAGTGCTGTTTGACACGAGTTTAGTGCCGATAGTACCTGAATTGTACACCGCCATCGCTGAGCAGTGGCTGATAATTCCCCTTTATTATCCTGGGGGGAGGTTAACATTTTTCCTTTTTTTTCTATTTTGTTTGTTTTAATATTTATAATTTAATAATTATTTTGTTTTAATAATAGAAAACTACTGCGATGTAGAGCAATGCATTAAGTGCACAAATGAAAGTATCGATTTCTCATTATGGTTACACTCAAATAATAAATGTTATGTGCATCAAATTGATCTTTTAAACAAACTCATAAAAGTTTTACCTTTTTAACATTGCAAGTGGACTGTGATAGCTGATAAAAAAAAAAACTTAACTGGTGATAAGTGATAATTCCTACATGTTAAAAAATATATAATTAATTGACTGAAAATAAGTGTACATACATAAAATACATCAAAACGCAATAGTTAAAAAACTAGAAACAAGGCATAAACTTTTTTAATAATATTTTATTAGATACGTATATTACAACGAAATTGACCAAAACA